GTGCCCTCCAGTTGCAGGACATGGAGTCTATTCGGGTGTTTGTCTCTGAGTTGATCCAACTCTGGGTGAGACGACTGACGAGTGGTTGCGATGACATGTTTGGCGTGAGTTGTGGTCAACACCTGTCGCACTAATGAGAGTCCAATGCCCCGATTGGCGCCTGTGATCAACACTACATCCAAACTCATTGCGTTCAATACGATTGCAAACTAATATGATGTCTATATATCTGTACAAAAAAAGTAGTAATAATTAAAACTTTTAGTAATATTTTGTACAAATTTATATCGTGTTATATTTCATTAAACACTAATTCATCTAAATTATAGTACCATTTATATACTTTCAAAATTATGATTAATCATGATTATCTAGCAACATACAGTAATCAATTAAGTTTATAAGTCAATGTGGTATAGTACATTTATTCGTACATTGAGTTATGTAATATAAATATACATATTATGTAATTATATAAAGTGTACTTACATGAAATGTACTTAATTATATATTATAATGAACTTAATATTAATGTACCGTAAATATGATGCACCCTGTGTATATGCACTTAATCTAATATTGCTAACATTTTTAAATCACTTTGTTTTGAATTCTTATTGAATGCGCAAGTAACCTCGTAATAAATTACGTACCACTTTATATTGTTTTAGTAACCTGTTAAGTTTAAGCGCCAAAAAATATGTTAATTATACCTGTACTTGTTTTGTTTTGTTTTGAAAAAATTGATAATGAGCAATTTAAGTTAATTTTTAAAATATTCTGTATAAAATATTATTTTTATTTTAATTGTGTTTAAGGGAAGTGAATGAAATACTGATTGAAATGAAGTGCAAGTTAAGCAATTTGTGCGATTTTCGTGATTTGTGCCAAAGTTTAGACAAAATGCAGTGTTTTTTGACACAAAATGCAAGTGTTTTGTGTGAAGGGATTGAATGCGAAAATGCAGCGAATTTGTCAATGAATTGCAATTCAATTGATTTGAATTCATGTAAAATAAGTGATAAAATGCTTTCCAATCAAAACACCATTAATACACTCAACACTTATCGCTATTACCGCTGTTTTTGGCCTAAATGTCACTTCAAGACTATATATAAAAAAGATTTAATATTACATAAATCATATCATTCCGGATTAAAACAATATAAATGTGATCATGGTAATTGCAATAAACAATTCTTTAGTAACGAACAGTTAAATCAACACAAAAATAGCGTTCATCTAAACGTGAGATATGTATGCGATTGGAGTGAATGTCGCAAACAATTTGCACAAAAATCACGTTTAAATCGACACAAAAGTACTGTTCATTTGAATGAAAAGAAATTCATATGCAATGAGCAAGGTTGTAGCAAAACATTTAATGAGCTATCATGTTTTAATCGCCACAAACGGGTACATTCAGGCGAAAAGCCATTTGTTTGCCATTTTAAAGATTGTGGCAAAATGTTTACAGTTTTATCGGATTTATCTCAACATAGGAAAAGACATGTTAATGAAAAGCTCCATAAATGCCAATACAGTGAATGCCAAAAGGTGTATGCTACTAAAAGTGATTTAAAAACACACGTAACTTACTTTCATATGAAGGTCCGTAAAATTAAATGTGACTGGCCAAATTGTGGCAAAACGTTCACCACAAAAACACACTTTACTGCACATAAACGGGTACATACGGGTGATAAACCATTTGAGTGTTATGTCACCGGTTGTACTAAAAAGTTTAAAACCAAATCCTGTGTAACTAATCATATAAAATGTGTTCATTTGAGGGAAAAAAGGTTTACATGTGATGTGAAAAATTGT